ATCTTATTATAAATTAATCTTTTAAGTTTATCAAATTATATAAAAAAAATCTAAATTATTTTTTTCACGCTTGAATTAGATAAAAAATCTTTTTAAAAATAATTTGTATGTTTAAGAGTGTGCTTGTAAATATTTTTTAAAATATTTTTTACTTGAAAATAATATATATATATATATATATTTATATCAACATATAAAAAATATATTTAAAATAATAAATAAAAAATATATATTTTTTAAAATATAAAAACAAACCCACCTAACTAGATGCCAAGTCAACTCAGTAAATCAGGCCTCTGTTATAACAAATATGGTTTTGGGGAAAATTCAAAATCTCCACGTTATAAATGACCGCAATATAAAAAGTTAGCTCACCATTACACCAATCAGCTACTGGCCCTTCCTGGCCACTATAGTTGACAAACAACGGAGGGTGACAGATTAGAACAAAATCATGGACAGTTATAAAAAGAATCAAACATCTGACCTTTCCTAACTCCTAGCGCAGTCCATGGTGGGCGTGTGGACAAAACGCGTAAAAATTCCTTTTCCGATCCCAATCCCAATCCCGTTTCCCTCCTGCCTAAAACCGACCTATTCCCTTCCTCCTTTTCTTTGATGGAAAAGGTCATAAAATCAGGGGAGTAGTTGTTACAGGTCAATATATATATATACACACACAACCCAAACAAAGACCACCGCAACGCAGTTTCCTTGTCAAATTATTGTTAGTTTTTTTTTTTTTCCTTCACCAAACCTCCCCTCTCTAACCCAACAGGACATCTTCAAAATTATATCACTTTCCTCCTCACCTCTCCAATCCACCTCCAAATTATCCTCATATTACTCGGGGATCAAGTTTCACTAACTCTCTTGTCGTCGCCTTCATCTTTTCTTCGCCGATGGCAGCGGCATTCGGTTTCGCCACCTCTATTGCTACTTCTACACCATCAAATCCTAACATTCGTCCATTGGCCGTGTCTTGTCCTCAATTGCAAACCTTCTACAAACCCTTGAACAATAGAAGGGCGTCGGCTTTAAATCAAAGCCTTCGTGTTAGATGTGAAAGTGTGAGTCAGAATTTGAATTCAATCGATAAGGAAGAATTGAAGAGATCGAGTGTTATGGCGCTTGCGCAACTCAAGGCTTCTGCAATCGACAGTGAGTTTGCTCTTTTTTATTTCGATTATTTGAAATTGGATAATGTGTGTGCTTCGTTTTATTATGTGGTGCAAAAAGGCTGTGTTTTTAGCTTGCTCAAATTATTTTATATTTACGATAAAAAAAATATATGTTCTATTTAGAAGCATGGGATTGAAAACCTTGTAAAGTTAGTGGAATTTAGCTTTACTAGATAAGAAAGAGACAGTGATCCTGGTGGTGATGTGAGTATTGTGTGGTAACAATTATCAAGTGGAAGGATTTTTAAACTGATTTTGATGACTCGAGAGTGTTTTAGTGAACACACACACACACACACACACACACACACATAATGGAAGATGTTTTGCAGCCATATTTATGGGTTCAAGAATTTATTTTACTTCGAAGGATTAGTTAATTCTGTGAGTATTTAGATCAATCATAATTTGCTTGTGTGGGTTTTGGATGTCCGTGATGCCATTAACTAGCTAGAAAAAAAAAATTAAAATTGAAGAAGCAGAGGCCTGCGACACCCAAGCGCTGAATTACACCAGCCTTTCTGGTTGTACTGACACCTATTTATTGTTCTGCATTAATGGTCTTAACAAAATCTCAAATCTCCTTTAACTGTAGCCTTAGTTTCAGGTTTTTCCTGCTTGTATTTTCATTTACGAGTATTTCACGTAGCTAAGGGGTGTGAATTTATTATATCATGTTTGTCACTTGGAAATCGACCAGTTTTGTGTCAATTTTGTTTTTCTTATTGTTCTTATACGACTCCTTGCTAAACCTTCCTGGAATTGGTCATCAATGCTAATTGCTGAAATACTATTTTTTTTTTATCAGGGTATACAAAGGAAAAGAGCAGCATCATTGTCATTGGACTCAGTGTGCACACAGCACCAGTTGATGTACGTGAGAAGCTGGCCATCCAAGAAGCCCAGTGGCCTCAAGCCATTAGGGAGCTCTGTGCTTTAAATCATATAGAAGAAGCTGCTGTTCTCAGTACTTGTAACAGAATGGAAGTATATGTTGTGGCTCTTTCTCAACATCGTGGAGTCAAAGAAGTTACTGAATGGATGTCTAAGGTACTTGTTTGCCTTTTTTTGTGTTTCTTAAGAATTCTCAAATAGAGCATGAAAGAGAGATGAAATACCTTTAAATTGCATGTTGGCGTGGCGTCTGTTTGGAGCGTGCTTTTGAATTGACTCGGCATGGCGTCTGTTTGGAGTGTTCTTTTGAATTGACTTGGCTCACCTTGCTCAAATCCACCTGTCCTTCTAATATTAGACTCTTCCTACCATTTCTTACTGTATATAGACTTTTCAAAATTCATTGAAAATATATTTGATATATTTCTACATGCATCAACCGGGAATGTTGCTCTACACATATTTGGTCAAAACATCTATTGAATAAGGATACATCTTTAGGGAAATATCAATTAAATTGTTCATATTCAGACATAGTGGTAAAATCAATGTCGACCACGGTCCATAATTAACAATTTTTCTTTTGACAGATTAGCGGGGTTTCCGTTTCAGAGCTATGCCAACACCGATTTATGTTGTATAATAAAGATGCCACAAGACACCTATTTGAGGTAGCTTCTGGACTCAACTCCATTGTTCTAGGAGAAGGTCAAATCCTTGCTCAGGTGAAGCAAGTTAAAAAACTTGGACAAGGAGTTGATGGCTTCAGTAAGAAAATTGGTGGGTTGTTTGAGCATGCAATCATTACTGGGAAACGGGTTAGAACTGAAACCAACATTTCCTCTGGGTCAGTTTCTGTTAGTTCAGCTGCTGTAGAGCTTGCATTAATGAAGCTTCCAGAGTCCTCATATGCTACTACTAGGGTATTAGTAATTGGAGCTGGCAAAATGGGGAGGCTTGTGATCAAACACTTGGCTGCTAAAGGGTGCAAAGAAATGGTGGTTGTGAACAGAACTGAGGAGAAAGTTGCTTTAATCCGTGAAGAACTTAAGGATATTCAAATCATCTATAAGCCCCTTTCAGAAATGATGGCATGTGCTGCTGAAGCAGATGTAATTTTCACAAGCACTGCATCAGACACTCCACTGTTCTTGAAAGAGCATGCACAGACACTCCCTGTGGACACAGAAATGGGAAGGCGGCTTTTCATTGATATTTCAGTTCCCAGGAATGTAGGACCATGTGTCTCGGATCTTGAGACAGCAGAAGTTTACAATGTCGACGATCTCAAGGATATTGTGGCAGCTAATAAGGAGGATCGGCTCCGGAAGGCTATGGAAGCACAAATAATTATTTCCGAGGAATTGCAGCACTTTGAAGCTTGGAAGGATTCCCTTGAAGCCGTTCCCACCATTAAAAAGCTACGGGCTTATCTTGAAAGGATTAGGGCTTCTGAACTGGACAAGTGTCTCTCGAAGATGGGTGATATTACAGACAAACAGAAGAAAGCTATTTATGATCTTAGCATGGGCATGATGAAGAAGTTTCTTCATGGTCCAATGCAGCACCTAAGATGCGATGGGAGGAGTGACTGCCAAAAACCAGAGGAGATGCTTGAGATTATGCATGCTGTGAATAGAATGTTTGACCTTGAGACGGAGATAGTTTTGGACACAGTTCGAACAAAAATGGAAAGAATCAAGAAGTGAACTCTTCATAAAGGGCACTTTTCCGTTTTACTGCACCAAAGGGATGTTCCTTGGGTATTCTTGTTGTGATGTTATACACTGAAACAGAATAATCGATTCTTTGGAGACCCATTTTTTAGAGAGAGAGAAATAATGGCTGCTATCCTCAATGGTGGCTTGTCATACCTTTTTTTTGTTCTCAATAGTAAGATAGAGTCAGGATGGTAGGGATTCAGATGAAAATTTTGTAGCCACAGATCGCCCTAATTGTCGAGGAATGAGGAGCGTGATTCTTTATTTTGTAAATATTTCACAGATTTTATGGCTACACTCGACAAGTCATTCATCCTTGGAGTCGTCTTCCAAGCTTTTACTGTGATTCCGTTCTGATGCAACGTTTACTTGTACAACTTTTGTTGTTGCCAGTTGATAATTCTTGAAACTGATAACAAATTGCACAAATGTTTTACAGGTCTTTATGTTTCTGGGAATATCAATTTCTATTTATTAATAACTGTGTTTGTGCGTTATTATGCTCCTTTTTTTTTAAAAAAAAAAATATAATATAATTTTTTCTTATTAGATTACAGGACTCCACCTTTTCTTAAGGTATCCAGTTTTTATGTTAACTAATATATTTTATTAATTATTCTATAAAATTAATTTTATAGAAATAGATAGGTGCAAGTAAAAAGAAAAAATATATAAATATTTTTATTATTTTTTATAAATTATAAAATTTATTTCTTCTTCCACTCGTGTTTATTGTTTTTTTAAAGTGAGTACTGTAAATTTTTTCTAAAAAGTTTCTTTATCCTTTCAACTCTCTAAACAAAATTTTTTGTTCATCATTGAAATTAAAACTAAAACTAAAAGTTATTAAATTCCCATAAAAAAGCATAAAACAAAAAAGTTGCCAGATCATGAATATCCCATGCATGAGTATACTTAAAATGCGGGGTTATTCTAAAGAATCCGTGTAAATACTAAAATGCCCCCTCTTCTTCTACGAAACCCTTGCATTCTACACGCTATATTTATTTGTCAGCCCTTGATTTTTTTTGTAATTAGAATTTAGTTTACGCAATAATGTCTAATAGCAAAATCAATCAAAATTAAAAACCCGGGAGAATGTATAAATGGTAAATAAGAAATTAAATAAGGGCAATATCGTCCAAAAAGAAATATAAACTGACACGTGTTCCCCACAAGTTTACTGCCAGATCTCTTTCTCGATTCCCACGCTCACCAAATCTCTCGTTTCTTTAGAGACGAGCGCAGTCTTCTTTCTCTAGAAAAATTGTTCAGGTAACGCCTTTTGATTTTCCTTTTGGATTTTTTATTGAAATTCAAATTTGATTGTGATTATGATCTTGATACTGGGAAGTTACAAAATTTAATCATTTGATTTGCAAAGATCCCCATCCTAACAAACTAACCGTAATCTGTTATCATTTGTATCTATCGTAGCAGTTACAATTTGTTTTTTCTTTTTTGCTTCTTTTCTTGCTTGAATCTTGGCTTCCTTTTCTCTCTTATTTCAATAGGTAGTTAGTTTTCCTTTTCTTGATCTTTTCTACTTTCAAATTTGTTAAAATTATGTTACAAAACAAAAAAGAAAAGGAAATCGTCAGGAGGGAGAGAGAGACTCAATTAATGCGTATGTAACTCAGTTTATGCTATGGTGTTATTCACAGGAATGATTTTTTTTTTTTGTGTTAATCTGTGTGTTTTGTTTTTGCTATGATTGTGTTTATTATTGTTTACGGTTTATTTTGGGTTTTTCGAGGAGGATTAAGGAAGGTATATCTCTCTCTCATGGTTTGTTTTATTAGTTTTTGGTTTATGAGGGTGGATGATTCCTATTCCTATCTTTCGTTATCACTTAAATCATTGTAGTTGATAAAATTGAAGTTGCTTACTGTATCTTCGTTTATTTAGCAAGTTCATGCAAACTGTATTGTTATCCATCTCGGAACTGACTATAACACTCCTTTTCCCGGGCCCGCTCCAAACAATTCCCTCTTCCTCTTCCTACTCCGGTGTGCCTCTTACACCAGGCATTTCATTAATGTAGGCTTGACCTTTACAAATAGTAAGAGGAAAAAAATGAAAAGAGACGGGAAAAGAAGTTTTTTTACGGTGTTATTCCAGCCATGTTTCCCAAATAATGCCTCCTCCCAGATTTGTCAAATATTATTACTCGTCAGTGTATCTCCTGTTCTGTATTTATTGTCATCATGCGAGTTTTGGCTACTTGGGTGATCTTTTAATTGCCATCTATGATTTGTTCCCTAACAACATTTAAAGATTTGTTATGTAGGTGTTAGCTGGGTTAATCTCCTAATTGTTGTCTATTATTTGTATCCCTTCTCTTCTCTTTCTTTATTCTCTCTCTCTCACCTTTTTTTTTTTGTTTCTGAGGAGGATATGTGTCCTGAATTAACCTAGAAAGATGGAATGACTAGCATTATCACTGTCCTCACTGATTGACAGAGAAGATGAATGTCAGTTTCTTTTCCTTCTTTATTAAATTTCTGTTCTCATAGATATTGAATACTGCAGTTTAAGTGTGTTGTTCATATCTATGTGGTGCTCAACAATTTGTTGTGATAGCTTTGATGGGTTATCTGTTATTGACTAGCAGGTGGTTTAGAATTTTCATGCTATTCGACTATGTTGAGTTAAATCAGTAGTGAGGTTATTGACTTTTCTTTTTCTACAGGAATGGAACTAACTACTGCCAAAGATGCATTTGATCGCGTTGTTGAGAAGCAAAACTTATCTTTTTCTAAATGCCAAGAAGTAATCGATCAAGTGAGCCAGGAAATTGAGCAGGCATTGTTAAAAATACATTCTGTGGAAGATCCTATGTCTCCCGTTGATCAGAAATCCATCCTCACAGAACTGAAGCACAAGCTTATTGCAATTAGTCCTCTCAAGCTATTAGAAGGGTCACAGAAGGAATTGAATTTAAACCTTAGCAAGTTCCCTAAGATCCTTGAAAAATCATTTCCTGACATATCCAAGGCATACAGGGATGTTGACTTTGACTTTCATATAGTGAATCAGATAATAGCAAGTCATTTTTACCATCAGGGATTGTTTGATCTTGGAGATTGTTTCATAAAAGAATCTGGAGAACCAGAAGCAGCTGCTCTAAGATCTCATTTCCTGGAACTGCATCAAATACTTGAGGCGTTGAGGATTAAAAATATTGAGCCAGCTTTGAAGTGGGCCTCCACCAACCGTGAAAAGCTAGTGCAGAATGGTTCAAATATTGAGCTGAAACTTCACCAGCTGCAATTTGTAGAGATTCTAAAGAGAGGAAATCGTGCTGATGCCCTCAACTATGCCAAAACTCACCTAGCTTCTTTTGCTTCTAGTCACTTGAAAGAGTTTCAAAAGCTAATAGTTTGCATAATGTGGATAGGCAGACTTGAAAACTGTCCTCACTCTGAACTGTTTACTCCAATCCATTGGGACAAGTTGACCGAGGAGCTGACTCGGGATTTCTGCAACTTTGTCGGTCAGTCCCTTCAGAGCCCATTAAGTGTGGCAATAGTAGCTGGGATTGAAGGTTTGCCGACTCTCTTGAAGCTGGCAAATGTAATGGCTGCAAAAAAGCAAGAGTGGCAGGCTTTGAAACAGTTGCCCGTGCCAGTAGAGCTGGGAAAGGAATTTCAATTCCATTCTATTTTTGTCTGTCCTGTAAGTAGGGATCAAGGCAGTGAGGAAAATCCACCGATGCTGCTGCCATGCCTCCATGTTCTCTGCAAGCAGTCTATCATGAAGCTATCAAAAGGCAGCTCCAGGGCATTCAAGTGTCCTTACTGTCCAGCTGAGGCTTCAGCGACTCAGTGCAGGCAGCTATATTTCTGACAAAATTTGCACTCCTGTGTAGGAAAAGTCTGGAGATTTTGTGGAGGTCGGTGATGAGAACATGTTTTTGCTTGAGGTTGCTGTATATAAACATTCTTTCCAGATTTATGTTTTGATTTTCAGATCTTTCAGTTGCTGAAATCCCAATTATATGGATGTAAATACATAAAAAAGAACATCATGGACATGTTACCTTGATGTTCAACACTTTTATCATGACTGGACTAGGGCGTCAGCTTTCAGTTGAAATTTGTGTTTGCAACCAGTGTTCATATACTGTGAATTGAGGATGGTACTACAGAAATGACCTTGGAAAGTGACGCTTGCTGCCATCCAAATTTAACTTTGTTCAATTGGACTATCCAACCAGAAATCAGAAAGATGTTGCCCTTCATGGCCACCCGAAAAACCAACTTGCCCTTTATGGCCACCGAGTATTGTATGCATGCCTGCTGCAGGATCTTATTGAGGTGGGAAAGACCGAACTGATCAGAGCGGCCGAAAATAGATCGGAAGGTGCAGAACGGAGGCACCGAAATCTTTGAGTTAAGTGTATGTTTAATTTTATATACATGTATTATTGCACGTCACATGGATAAAGGGAGGCGGCTTAACAAGATTCGGAGGGGCTAGCTATCTGGTCAGAGTGGAATTCCGGTGAAATTGCATAACCGATGATCTCATTCAATTCTAATGTCCTGCCATTTGATGTCTTTTATGGTGGTTCCAATTTGCTTTTCCACAAGTGACGGCAAAAAGAATATGGGGGCTGCTTTCAGGGGAAAAAAAAGCATCATACACACAACGAGTATTCACCTATCAATCTTCTCTTTCTGTGAATTTATCAAACTTACTAGCCAAAAAGAAGCCATATATGATTATTAACAACATCCAGCAGTTAACAGAAAACAACGAACCATCCATTCCAACACAATTTCTATTACTACAAGATATGCCACCATGCTATCTTAAACATTTGGACTTATTCAGAAAACCCCATTATCCTCTTCAAACCAGGAAACAGCGTTGAACGAGAAGAGTTTGAAGATGGCTTCTCTTCATGTAAATACTCTTCAATCATTTCTTTGACAGACCTAGCAGATAAAGGGTGAAAATTGGCACCCCATTCATTAACAAAGCCTTTAACCAAGACCCTTCTCTCCTCTTTATCCATTTTGCTCCATTTCCTCTTCACTTCCTCTTTATCCAATGCCAAATAGTTGCAAAGCTCAGTGAAAAGTAATTCTCTGCTTTTCTTCATGGCCTCTTCTCTTTGCACCAAATGGGTATTTATTTTTGCAACTTCTGTGGCCAAACCTGATGCAAGATCCGCATCAGTTAAGCTGTTTTTGTTGGTGCATGGGATTCGGGTTCTGAAATGGGTTGTAGTCGGGAAGGGACAAGAGTGGAATTTCGGAGGTCGGATAAGGGTGTTTGGAAAAAACAGATGTGTTCTGAGTGCCATTTTTGAAGTAACAGTTTGGGTGGGATTTTGGAGAGATTGAGGTTTTAGGGTTTGGTGGTTAAGGACGATTTTGTGAGAAACTAGGACTCCCTGGGTAGTGCTGTGCTGTGTTTGGAAATTAAAAAAATTATTAAACTTTAGACGGCAACATTATACGACATCGTCTAGTTTTTAGAGGCAACATGACTTGGTTATTAAACCGACCCGGGGTTTATCCAGCGTCAGGTCCAATCACATATCAGGCAACCGGATCAATAATTTTTTTTTTAAAAAAAAGTCAATGAAACATCATTTTAAAAAATAAATCAACAGGTTTTACCAAGTTTTCAAGTTTTGACTAGATTAAACACTCGGGCCTCCAAGATGATCAGGTCAAACAAAACCAATTTCAAATCAACTCAGCACGGTCAAGAAATGGAATGCCATCAAATTGGTTTTGACCCACATTACCCCACTGGTTAAATTTCTTCGTGAAGGTTTTGTCTTCGAATCCTGGAAAGAGTTAAATTCATGGCTGTTCTTGGCAAACCATTATGCAGCAATGAAAGATGTGTTGCCCATCTCATAAAAATTCACCACTGTCTAACAGACCTTTCACCTTCGTGTTGAAAGCCATTTATGGCGATACCTGCAAAGTATAGGAACTTTACATGCCCTTGCCAACGTTCTTCGCTGAGTCTCCATCCCTCCATGGCTGTGAGCAGAAACGACCAGGCAGAATTTGCTGCAGCTAGAACAGTCGCTGAATGCTTGCTTGCAACTTCCTGAGATTAAATCAAGTAGCATGCGAGAGCCTTTTCTTTTTATTAAAGTTGAAGATAAGCAAGTCAACGCTATCATCAGAGTCAGCATCCATGAATGTCCAAATAATTTCCATTGCTTCTTCTGTCTCCTTTGAATAATTTGCAGAAAATTGTGTACATAGAAGAACAACAGAATCCATCCACTGAATACCAATAGCCAAAAAACCATCGAAGACAATCATATGTAACTTGCAGGTTAAAAGCTTATCTAATCAAGTGCATTCGGTGCAAGCTGCTGCTCCGAGGAAGGCCCTTCTCTTATGAATTGTCTTCAAAAAACACAATAATACTGTAACCAAGCTGCATAGAATTAGAAGAGATTCATCATCTTAAAGGAAAACAAATATTGTAATAAAAACAGAAAGACTCTCAAGTGGGAGAAAAATGAATACCAATGGAGTTTTTTTTAAGATATGCTTCTAATTTCTTAGAATTAGGAGTCTCAAAACTCTCATCACTATAATCATCCACAGTGTCACTACTACCTTTGTCCAGCAAATCCCTGTCAATTTGTTTTTATTTTGTTTTAGCATTTGGAGTTTAAACTCAAAGAAATTCCCAATGGCACCCTTTGCCATTAAATAGTGGGTAAGTTCATCCCCACATGGTCCCTCAAGTTTAAAAGGTTGGTTAAATCAGCTCCTCTATTTTTAATTTAGCAGTTCAACCCCCAGCTTTGAATCCGCGGGCCCTCCACCCCACCCATATGGAGGGATCACTGTTACAAGTACTCGGACTGTCGTACTCAAAATTAAAATATAAGGATTAATCTAACCAATTATCAAAATCACCCTTTAAGATAAATTACAAAAAAAAGTACTGAAATTCGGACCTTTTCAACTTTTTTTTCTTCTACAATTTGGGCTATATACATATACATACATACATATATACATATACATCACTCCTTAACTTTATAAAATTATGTGCAGCAATAGAAGTCGTATCATCCCATAAAAAAATATTAAAACCTAAGAAAAAGGAACAAATTTGTTTTTACCTCATGTTCTATTGATCTTTCAGTCAAATAGAGGTCATATTCTGCTGGCTGGAGATGCATTGCATAACAATAGTTTTCTTTCTCACAGCTTCGCTTCTTTTCCTTTAAAAATCAAGTCTTCAATGACAATATTGGAATCGAACCCACTTACCATCCAATCGAATATATGAGATGAAAAAAGGAAAAGAAAAAGAAAAAGAAACTCCCTCTCACAGTTCCTTGCCACGCCACTCAATTGCCACTGACCAAGCACCCATCCCCATCCAGACATGAAAGGTCAGGAAGGGGCAGCTGCTCCCACTCAAAATAATTTATTACCTTTTCTCTTTATTTTTAATTTCTTCAGCATTTTATTCGGTTTTTGTTTAAGATTCTTAGTTATATACTTTGCTTAGGTTAAGTTTTTTGAATTTATATAAGAATTGTAAAAATAATAATAAAATGATTTATTCTGTTTTTATTTGCGTAAACAGGCAATGAAAAAGACGCCACTCCGATTCCATGTACACGGACAATGCAAGTCTACTGCTGGTATTATGAATTAAATAAAATACTAACAGCGAATCAAAAGGCGCAAAAATTAATAATTGACTCTCTGTCCCTGGAGAGGGAGAGATGGGACGAGAGATATTTTTACTTTAAGTACAGCCAGTCGTGCAATTATAAATTTAATAATAATAATAACGAAGAAAGAAGCCTCCTCCTCCACCACTCCTCCACCTCTCTCAGGTAAGAACTAAGAACACAATACCATAACTAAAACATTATTACAAACTCAATAATTCGTTGAACATCTATCGCTTGGCTGCCTGTCTCTGTCTATGTTCGTTTCCTCTCTTTTTTCAGCCATTAAATCTCATCTTATCGACTTCAGTTTTTTACTTGTCGATTTGGTAATCGCGTGTGGTGTTTTCTTTCTTTGTTCGTTTGTTTTTATGTAGAAATGCAGGCGTTCTTTTTGTTAGGTTCTTAGACAAATTCTGTATACCTTTTACTCAGTGTGATTGCTTATTTTTTTTATTTTTTTGCTCTTTATGAGGTAACGTTGATGGATTTACATTTAATTTGTGTTTGAATTTTGAATCTGCTTACAGAAACTTCAACCTTGCTATTATGTTTTCAATGCATACCTGCTTCTTAGTATGATGGATGTTGATAAATTCCAATTTGCCCGGTGATTTCATCTGCTTCATCTTAATAATGAACTGTAATAGTAAAGTGGGGTGAGCGAATTTTGTTATCTTAATTCTGCTTTCTAAGTTATTTTTCTGATTGTGTCTCTTCATTTTGTCAGTTGTCCCTATTGTAGTTCATTTATGAAATGATTACTGATTTAGTTGATTGTGCTTGGTAAACTGGCTTGTATTATCCTCTCCCCGAAACTGAAACCCTTTCATTATAAAAATGTATCTTTGACCCGAATCATTGTTTTTCTTTATTAATGGTATTGTTTTCTCGTGTTTTTAATAGCTAATGGATGTTTTTGCTAGGCTCGGTTGCAGATTATGGATAGTGGTCCAGGTCCAAGTTTGTATCCATTGCACCGCTGCAAAACTATTCATCTGGTTGGTATTGAATTTTTTATTTCATAAATGATGTTACTGTGTCAATTATGGATATGAATCTGCTACGTATATGGTCTGAATGAATGAAGGATGTCCAAGATTGCTTTCTTTCTTGGCTTTCGCGCTGAAATCAAGGCATTGTGGTCTTACAAAACCTTGCATCCAGGTGAGGCATGCACAAGGATTGCATAATGTCGAGGGAGAAAAGAACTACAAAGCATACTTGAATCCTGAATATTTGGACGCCCCTCTCACTCAACTAGGCTGGCAACAGGTAACAAACCAAACAATCACATTTCAATACGAGAGGAAACTCATTCAATTCATGCTCTTAAGCTGGCTCTGAAGAGAATTTTGTATTATTAAGATATCTCATAGACGAAGTTACTGCTTTTGTTATAGGTTGATAATTTGCGCAAGCATGTCCATGCATCTGGGCTCTCCAAGAGGGTTGAATTAGTTGTTACATCCCCATTGCTCAGGTACCGATTTTATGGATATATATCCAGCCATTTTTAGTACAGATAGATAGCATTTCTTTTGTTGATAAATTAATTCTTTTCTTGTTAAAATTGATCTTATATCAAGTTCTATATTCATCAAGCTTCTAACTGGTAGCGGGAGACATGAAATTTTCATTTAGGCATCCGACTAAGTCTTCTGAAGAGAGAATATCTTTGGATGCTTTCTCATTCCCCTATTCTTCTTTTTGAAACATTCCATTAGTAAGTTTTGATCACTGTGACTTGCAGGACATTACAAACAGCTGTTGGAGTTTTTGGAGGGGAGGGCTACACAGATAGGACAAATGTACTGCCACTAATGGTGGCAAATGTTGGAAGCAGTGGTCGAGCAGCAATTTCAAGCCACAATTCTCCACCATTCATTGCAGTAGAAGATTGTCGGGAACATTTTGTACGTCTAGTATACTATTTGCTTTTCTTGCAATAACATGTACTTCTAATTGTACAAATTCCACATTTCTAAGTTCTGCAGGGAATCTGAAGAGAATAATTACTTCTTTCTTTGAGAAAAATTGGACATTGAACTTGATTCTTAACTTCTTTCACTTTTATGTATTACAAGAACTCTTTGAGCCCCTTTAAACTTAATTCTACTTCTTAATGAATTTGTATTTCTCATGCAGAGGGAAACTAAAGCATAACAGTCTTACACGCTTCTCTTATGTGTCCTATTGGTTGCAGGGTGTACATCCTTGTGACAAGAGACACGATGTCAGTGACTATCAATTTCTCTTTCCTGCAGTTGACTTTTCGCTGGCAAGTACTTGGATATCTAAGATAAAAGTTATACAATTAAAAGTTAGAAATTCATTTGCTGCCCCTGTTACCGTAGGTGGTTATATTTGTTAAGGCTAAATTCTCGTTATTTCCTTGAATGTTAAACTAAATAAACATTTGATGCTCTTTTCAGATAGAAACAGATGAGGATGTACTGTGGAAGGCTGATGTGAGAGAGTCAACTGAAGAACTTGCTACAAGGGGACTGAAGTTTCTTAACTGGTGAATACTATCTCTCCATTAAAAGGGCACCGTTTTTATGTATATTCTGTTAGAATCCCGTAAATCTATTCAAGACTCCATCTGGAAATTATGTATAAACTTTCTGTATCAGCTCAAACCTCATAGGCTCCTTGTGTTTTACCTGTGCTTCACCATGTAAGTGACTGGAATCCAGGGTTGCTTTTCATCAGACATTCCTCATTTTGCTTGATAGTATCTGTTATCACCATCTGGTGAATACTATCTCTCCATTAATAGTGCACCGTTTTTCTGTATATTCTGTTAGAATCGCGTAAATCTATTCAAGACTCCATCTGGAAATTATGTATAAACTTTCTGTATCAGCTCAAACCTCATAGGCTCCTTGTGTTTTACCTGTGCTTCACCATGTAAGTGACTAGAATCCAGGGTTGCTTTTCATCAGACATTCCTCATTTTGCTTGATAGTATCTGTTATCACCATCTGGTGAATACTATCTCTCCATTAATAGTGCACCGTTTTTCTGTATATTCTGTTAGAATCGCGTAAATCTATTCAAGACTCCATCTGGAAATTATGTATAAACTTTCTGTATCAGCTCAAACCTCATAGGCTCCTTGTGTTTTACCTGTGCTTCACCATCTAAGTGACTAGAATCCAGGGTTGCTTTTCATCAGACATTCCTCATTTTGCTTGATAGTATCTGTTATCACCATCTGTTCATTTTGCTGTCATGTGCGATTTTGAGCTCCTAAATTTAGATATCAAAGCTTTGGTCTTGCAGTATAGTCTCTACAAAAATATTTAATTAAGAAACTCATGTGTTGCTATGTCTTGAATTTGTTGTAAAGTTTTCTTACATGTTGTACCTTAGGCCTCAACCATTCACTTGGCAGGTTGTGGACTAGGAAAGAGAAGGAGATAGCAATTGTTACCCATAGCGGGTTTTTGGTTCATACATTACGTGCATTTGGAAATGACTGCCATCCATCAGTGAAGAAAGAAATGTGCACACGGTAAGCTGCCTGCTATCTTAGCTTTTGCATATGGATGGCATGCTTTAATTGCAAAATTCTTAGCTCGCCATGTGCACATGCCATTGGAGAAGTTGCAATCACCTTTTAGCATTTTCCCATGACGTGGCTGCCCAAAATTTGAAGCTGCAACCACGTGGTTGCATGCTGAGGCTTCTGCCATAGCACCAAGCAATGGCTGCTCTCATGAACTTCTGGAGCTTTCTGCTATTTTTCTTGCATTATTACAACAATTTAGTTTTCCTTTTTTTTTTTTTTCCGGCAGTCCTTTCAGTAGAAGTTATGGGTTACCTTTCCTTTCTGCTTGAATTTGAACTGAAAGGAATCATGTATTTTTTGGCCAACGAAATTTGACTTCAGCCTTTACCTGCCCTCTTATTGCCTTACTGCCTTATTTTCTTTCCCAAGGCATCTTGTGTTCTTGTCATGCATTCTATTGTGTACTAATATCACATGCACTGCATTTCAGGGTAGGGCACTTTCTTGCAGTATCTAGTTGGATTGCACTTTGTGTCAAATTAATTCTCTTTTAATGCACAATACTTTCCTAAAATAAGAAATTACTTCCATTTCTTGCAGCTTTGCTAACTGTGAGCTTCGATCTATGGTCATTGTTGACAGAAGGTGCGGTAATCTATAATAGAGTATAATGATGGTGTTATCTGGGCAGCTTCTTACATGAGTTTGTATTCTTTCTCCAGTATGATTGGATCAGATGTTTCAACAACTAACTATCCTGGAAAGGTTCCTCCTGGAACGGATCTCCCTAGTGATGATGCCGAGGAAGAAGCACCCAATTCAATTTAGGGGATGAACAGGTTGACATTGATTTGTGCATTGAAAATGAAATGTTTGGCGTTCTTGGAGAATTGTGGCCTCTTTGCTCCAATGTTCCCTCCTTGTACTGGTAACTGAGATGCATTCGCAGCCAGAGTCGTGTTATTTGGAAGGCTAAATTATAAATACCTTCTGAACTTGGGCGAAAAAATAAATACTACTCTGAACCAAAAAACCCTTGATTTTTCACCCTAAACAGTGTTTTTTTTAACTCACCTGTGAATTTAGGGTTTCATTGAGAAATTTATGAAAAACCTTTTAAAAATCCTTCTAATCCCTCTCTTAAAACAAAAGGTTTTTTTAAAATCTAAATTCCATCCCCTTTCACTTCGACATCATCATCAACAACAGTCACTCAAATCAAAGGGAGCTTCTTAAGAAAAACAGGCCATTATTCAGGTATGGTACTGTTCATAGAACAATGAATTGACAAGTTCCCCAGCCAAATTTTGAGTTGTTATATCGAAAGGCCCAAATCATCTCCTAACAAATACCTAACCGCAAATGCGACCTGCCAGCCTTATAAAATATTATAAAATATTTATACTGTTCGAGTTCTTTGTGTTATAACTGAAGGTTTATAAAATTGTTAATTTTAGAGCTTGTAAAATTGTTAATTTTAGAGCTTGTAAAATTAGTTGTAATATATGTAAGCTAACTTGAATATTTATATTAATCTAAAAAAAAAATTAGTCATAATATGTATAAGTTAATCTAAATATCTATATTAATTTAAAAAAAAATATTGGTACTCCAAAAACATCCATAATACTGTAAATACAATTAAATAATAAGAAGGGTGCAGAGAATTTATGTTTTTTATATTTAATATATTATAGATTATAATAATAATTTATAGTTTTTTTTATTTTTTTTCATTTCATTTTTACTTTTTTATTTTTTTTCCAATTTCCCCCTTTTTTTTGGTTTATTTTTTATTTTTTATTCAAAAATGCTTTTCTTTTTTTTCCCCCAATTTTCCCTCCTTTTTTTTCGTTTATGTTTGTTTTCTAAAATTATCTTTATTGATTTTATTTTTTTAATATTGAGTTGGTTAAAAATTTAGTTTTGTAATTTTTTTCCTTTAAAATACTGTAAATTACTATGGTATTTTTTCACATAATTTTTTTTATTTATTTTTTAAAATCATATTTGTTGATTTTTTTTTAATATTGAGCTGATTAAGAATTTAGTTTTGTAATTTTTTTTAAAACAATGTTGATTATTATAGTACTTCTCCGTATGGTTTTTATTTTATTTTTTAATATTGAGTTGGTTAAAAATTTAGTTTTGTAATTTTTTTTAAAACAATGTTGATTATTATAGTACTTCTCCGTATGGTTTTTATTTTATTTTTTAATATTGAGTTGGTTAAAAATTATAGTTACAATATGTGAGAAAAATATTGTAACTTTTTTAGTAAATTACTGTGAATTACCATAATATTTTTACATGGTTTTTTTCCATTTTCTTTTTTGTTTTCTTTTTTGTAATATTTTTTTTAAAATTATTTTTGTCGATTTTGTTTTTTTTAATATTAAGCTAGTTATAATTTAACTTTGTAATAAAGCTTAATCATATGGGGAAAACATTATAGCTTTCCTCACAAAACACTATGAATTGCTAGATTGTCTCTCAAAATTGTTTGTTTATCTTAAGATTTTTTTAAAATTATCTTTTTTAATTTTATATTTTTAATATTGAGCTGGTTGAGAATTATAATTATAAGTTATTAAAAATAAGGCTAAATCATATGGGAAAACACTATAACTTTTATTACAAAACACTATGAATTGCTATAGTGTTTTTAACGTGGTTTTTTTCCTTTTTTTTATGTTTTTTTCTAAAATTATCTCTATCAAGTTTTTTTTTTAAATATTGAGCTTATTGAGAATTTAGTTTTGTATTTTTTTTAAACATTGTGAATTATTGCAATGTTTTTTCATATGATTTTTTTTCAAAATTATCTGTTGATTGAAATATTGAGTTGGTTAAGAATTATAATTACAATAAAACTAAATCATATGGGGAAAGTATTGTAGTTTTTCTCACAAAACAATGTGAATTGCCGCGGAAGTTCTCTAAACGGTTTTTTTAATGATTTTTTCTAAAATTATTTTTATCGATTTTATTGGAGAAAACATTATAATTTTTCTCATAAAACATTATCAATTGCTACAACGTTTTTTGTTATGGGTTTTTTTCTTTTAAAATTATCTTTGTTGGTTTTTTTTTCAATACTTTAAGTTGGTAAAGAATTTAGCTTTATAATTTTTTTTTTATTTTTTATTAACAAAAAAATTAAATCAAGTGACGAAAATATTGTATCTTTTCTCACAAAATACTATAAATTAATATAAATTATTTTGTTCAGTCTCTAAGTTTTTAACCATTAATACAATTTTTTTTATCATCATGATATATTAGCTTTATTATACTTTTAATTTTATTATTTATTTAACATTAATTTATAATTATAACATTATTATATATATTTATTTTAGAAACCCGTGATAATATCCTAGCATGACATCTAGTTTAATTAAAGTTGAGTTATGCTGGCTTTATCGGCATGCAGCGTTGTAAACCAGGACTTATTAGCCTCGAATCGACATAAAATTTACAATGATTTGAATTTGAACTACTCTAGTCTATTCTCATATCCCTTTCAAATGAAAAATTACTTTAATCTATCTTGTCTGTGTGTTTTGTTAATCATTCAAGTGCATGCTTAATGATATAATTACTTTATTGCCTCCATTCTTTATATTTTAAACTACTCAAGTTCAATTTTAATATTTACGGCGTTATTGGAAGTTTCTAAATTAAATTTAATTCGGATATCTTGATAAAATCTTATATTTAAAATCATTTTGAATATTAAGAATTTAATTTCAAATAAAATTTAATATTAAAAAAATAAATCAAATATCAACCCTTTTGATTTATAATTTTAAAGAGAAAATATTTAACTAACTTTTCTAAAATATTTATCTACTCCTTTTTTTTTATAAATCTTTAAAGAAATAAGATGGAGTAGATAAAAATAATATAATAAACAAAATAAATCAAATTTTATTTCATCCAAACACATACATTTATTTTATTTATTAATTAGATAATATAATTAAAATTCAACTGCAGTAAAGTAAAGAAAGGATGGGTGCAAGTACCAGGTATAGCTCAAATTTATAAAATCCTGTTTCACCGCATAGATACACGAGCATTTCCTCTCTTCTTGCACACATCAACCCATGTACGATTGCCCACGATCCTAATTCGGTCAAAGCTTAGAGCTGAACCTTAACCATTCAATGTCTGAAGAATAATGGATCAACAATAAAAACGTGGGGAGATCAAGAAAAAGACCATTTCCTTGTCTTTACAAAGAAAAACATCTTGGGTGGCAACGGGCGAACCAGCCGTTGCTATCGCAATTTTGCAGCCCGAATCATATAGCTTTTTTATGACAGGAACAGCAAGGTAAAATGCATCAACGTGAAGCACATGTGCGGATCGCATCACATTACATGGCTCAGCTGCTGGTCGGAGGCCGTTTGGAATGCAGAATTTAACTATTTTTTTTTTAAGATTCCAAAAATTCAAGACCGACGAAGATGAGATGCACGGAAATGCTGATCTCTCATTTTAGTGGCACTTGAAGATGTAAAGTTCTTGAAAGAGTCTGAAATCTCTTGCAAGCCAAGCACAAAATCCTTGTTGAAAAAAGAAGAGAAAGCACAAAAATCCTTGAAATCTCAGAATTCAACCTCGGTAGATCTTTGAATTTCTATGTAACAGATGACATCTTGCATCCCATAGTCCTGCTGTCTGAGAGGATGAAAATTATTTGAAGATTCCCAGGCAAGACTGGAGTAGGAGTAAATAAATCAGTGGAGAACATGCATGGATACAACTTTGACCGGTCATGTTTTCCTTGAGATATTATCGCCGAGAATACTGTATTTTAGACAGCCTCCTTAACTAGGATCGAGTTGGCAGTTATTCCTCCAAGAAACAAAGAATTTCCAAAGGAACCATCTCTTTAATTATTAGATATTTATTGGCCTGCTGATGGATCATGTTCACCTCTTCTTTCCCATATAATTCTTGCCCTCTTGCCGATTCTCGGTGAGTCTGCCTGCTTCGTTTTTTTCTCATGACATTGCTTCAAAATTACATCGATTTAGATAAGCCTCTTCTTTTCTTTTCTTTTTATTAATTGGGGATTTAAATAGAGTAAATTGAATGTAAAAGAGGACAATCCTAAAGGAAAATAAATTAAACACCTTATTCGAGAAACGTTGTGGCTGGAATTGTATTTCAAAAATGTGCGTGGCTCAAAAAATTATTAAATTAACTTTTTTGTTTTATTTTTTGATATTTTTAATGTTAAAAAATAAAAAATATATTTTTATATATTTTTAATATATTCAAACTTATTTCAGTGAGTGTCTGAGAGTATTGTAATTTTTTGTTTTTGAATGTGTTTTGAAAATATGTATTCTTTAAAAGAATATAAAATTAATATTTTTTAGTATTTTTTTTATAATCTTGGATTATTTATATTAAAAATGATTTAAATATATTTTTTTAAATCCTCATCACAATAACAAACATAACCTTACAAAATTATCAAATACAAAAGTCGATGTGCCAAAAATACGTGAGCCCAGTAAATGTCATTTAAGCGGGAACTAACAGACAGTATATTGGCCCTACATTTGATCAACAAAAATAAAACGAAAGGGTCTTTACGTGGATTTGTATCGGGTGGGAGACTCCTGGATGCATTTATTCGAGCATGTCCAACACCAGCTAGTCAACACGATCTCCATTTTTCTCCTTCTTGAGGTCTCGATTCAAGTAAATTTAGATTTATGGATATATTAGTCGCATGAAAGCAAGTGCATCAGAAACTGCCCCACTCGGCATGGCACGCAGCTTTCCTTCGGAAACATGGCACATTGGTTTTTTCCTTGGAGACGGAGGGGTGGCTGGCTACCGGCCGGCAAGGCGAGGACGACGTCGGGAGGTCTTTGTACATTTTAAAATAAGAAATGACTAATCGACCATTAATTGAAAGAAGTAGGGCTGGCCTTTCTTTCTTTTTTGCTGTCTTGATTTAAAAAATATTTTTGAACCATTTTT